GTTCGCACAACATGGTGGCAAGTCAGAGTTTTTATTAGGGCATTCAAAGGACAAATGTCCCTCTCCGCATCTCACGCACTTGGGTGCATAGTTACAGCCAGTTTGCGTATGATGAAATCCTTGGCACCTATAGCATTGTAGCGTGCCCGATCTACCTTTATAATTTTCGACTTTAATTCCTAGGTCACATAAGTGAGTTTCGTTGTGTATATCTTTGGATTTGGGTTTCTTAGGCAGAGTAACTAAAAATAGCGGAAGTTTAATAACCTCCCCTTTTCTTCTGCGCGTAAGTTGCTTAACTGATTCAACTTTGTATCCTAAATCCTCTAACTCCTCTTGTATTTCTACCGTATCTGTATCTCTTAAAAGACCTCTTATCACAACTTTTATGTCTTTATCCTCAGGAAGCGTGAAAGAGTGATGTTCCACTTTCGTGTCTTTTAAATAAGTAACAGTCTGCCTGTAATGTTCAGGGTTTCTGATGAAAATTTTAATCCCTTTATTATTCTTATTAGAGTTAAACTCAATGTTTCTCTGTTTAAGTGCCCTAGCTATGTTTTTCCAAGTAGGGTAATCTACTTTAACAGTTATGGGTGGTATCCGTGACTTTTTCACAAATTCCGCTTCTATGTTTTCATCTGAGCTTGTATTTTGTTTAGACGTACTAGCGTCCGTGTCCATACTATTGTTATCCTCACCATTAGTGGCATTTTCACTAAGTCTCTCCTCCATAGTGTTCATTTGAGTTGCGCCAGCCTGGGGAATATGAGCGTCAGTTCGCCCAGTCGGGGCACGTGACCTCATCTGGATAACTGAGTGGTCGCGCTGCGTTTTCGGTTCCAGACCTACTCGCTGCAGCCTGTTTCTCAGTTCCTTCCTTCACGAGATGGCGCCACATTATTGTGGCTGCTGACCGCAAACTCAGAACTCAGTGTTTGTGTAATTTTACTACCTATGTCCTGACTAGGCGAGATTTTTAAACTTTTGGGAGCCTTCGGTTTGGGATTTCGTTTCAAGCTAACATCACCCTTCATGTCTGGTACTGTGCGTGTACTGTTCGACAGTAAGTGCGGAGTCATCATCAGCTATGTTCGCAAGAACATCAAATTTTGTTTTGCACCTCAGGAGGGTCCGATTCAGTATCGCTCAGAGTACGTTTCGTACTTTTGGTAACAGCAGTCCAATGCATATCGTGTTGGGAGACATCAGCATGATGGGAATCAATTTCATTAGACGCTAACCGGTTAGAACCGACTTGCGCTAAGCCTAGTTCAGAGCCACGTGCAGAGTTCAGACTTGCTCGTACTTTATCCGATAGGTTAGGGAGAAGATTTAATAGAAAATCCAGATCAATTCTTTCATCCTCAGTCAAAGGTAAATCCTTCTCTTTGGAAGTTAATTCCGCATATCGAGCGAAAATTAGTTTGACCAATGACATGTTGATCGAGTCCTTAAACCAGTTCAGTCATCAGGGAAAAATAGATGCAAAGAATCAGTAAAATCGCACTAAGGCCTTTTTACTACTCTTTGGCCACTTAAGACCGGTGAGCAACCTTTTATGTGCTAACAACTGATCGTAGAAGAAAAATCAAATCGACTTGGTAAAACCGAGAGCCGTGCTAAGACAACCTTCACGTGCGAGTCCGTGACCGAAGCTTCGAAGCAGTGCTTCACTTCATGAAGTAGTTTATTGTGCCAAGAGGTATTTATACTAAGTCTGATGAAATTGCAAGGACAAGCTATGATTGGTTAATTTGAGGCTGTTGGTTGGTTGGTAACGGAGGACGGGACGCCTGATGTCTAACAGAGGTAAAGGCAGGTCCCGCGCCCCACTAACCAGGAACACTCCCTGGGGCCTCAAGAGGCCGCCTCGGGAGCTTTTTAGGATGTTAACAAGATCATTTACAGGCATACAAGGGCAGATTGCATTCGTTTACCGTTTTGACATTTGTTGTTGCAATTTGCCTATGGTAATTTGCACATTCACAATAAAATTCTAATAAAATACAAATAAATATACAGATACAAAAATACAGTTACAAAATAATAGGATCAAAATACAGGCTCATAGGGAAAAAAATAATAATAATAAAAAAAAAATAAATAAAAATAAAATAAATAAAATAAAATAAAATAAATAAAAATTTTTAAAAAAAATTAGTATTTATGCATATACAGAAGAGGCAATGTTAAATACATTTGATTGTGCATTATTTGAAGGTGTCTGTATAGGGACTTATGTAAATTTTAGGAGTAGTCTTATGTGTTGAGAATGTGGACTGCATGCTGACTTAGTAGTGTATCATGTCTGAGAGTTTTGGTAATGAGGAGAGCACAAATCTTGGCCCATTCTCTTGAGCTTGTTAACAACTTTGCAAAATGTATTTACTGCCGGTTTGTGCTTTATAAGGAAGCGGTGAAGCTTCACTATTGTTGATAGGAAGAGGAGGTGATTCCTGCTGTCAGATGGCATTCAAAAACATAGTGGTCTGGGGAGCCTTCCGCTCCGCAGGCGCATATGTCCGTGGTTTGTTATGCCATGTCTATTGAAGTAGGTCGGGAATGGGCCGTGTCCCGTAATATAAGCCGTAAGAGGAGCTATTGCAATGTTGCGTTCAGTGCTGACTTTCGGGAGATAGCTGTATGTACGTCTTCCCAGTTGTGCAGTGCGTCCAGTCTTCCTGCCAAAGATTTAGGCCTTGACCCCGTAATAGCCCTTTGAGGTAGGAAGGAGGGGCTGGGATTGTGATTTTTTCAGCTTCTGGATCAGTGGCTGCTTGCTTGGCCAGGCTATCAGCTGCTTCATTTGAGGCTGTTATGTAACATAGAAAGATCTCGAATTTGGGAAAAGAGATGAATTTATGGGGAGAGCACCAAATCTAGAATCGTTAATTTTTAGATTGCCAATTTTTTTTTTTAAATCAGCTATCGTATTTTGTTATATCTTACACACACACACATATATATATGTGATATTTCGGCATCAAAGTTCAGGCATGGTTTATGCAGAGTGGTAAAGCTAATCCAAATGAAGAGGCAAGTTGATTTAGCTTTTAATGGCACATCTTTATTCCATAGCTTTAATTTAATTTGTACCGTAGATCATGCTTTACTTCATATTAAATTCTCTAAATCACATATTCAATAGTAGTTTAAACCAAATACGACTAAAACTTTATGCGCCATTACTATTTCTAACAAAGGAAAGATAGATCAAGCAGCAGCGAGATGTATAGCACAAGAGGAGAGGCGAGCTTCTGACGCAAAATGTCGCGCATTCGTTATTTATAGTAGCAGTTACGTAATAGACTAGCAATTTCTAGAAGGTACTGGTCTAGGGGGAAGATCCTGAATTGCAAAAAGTTCATTAAAAGTTGCTTGTTAGTATAGGCCTTTCAGTTATAATACACTGGTTATCATAAATTAAGGAAAAATCACGATTACTGAAAAACTTACATGTGAATTTTAACACATAGTAAGGTATCAAATAACATAAAAGAAATTACCAGACAATTATGGTAGTATAGAAATTAGCACATGTATAAAATGAACAAATAGATGATGTCAGTTTGCTATAATAAAAGTACCTTCAGTATAGAATATAATCGCCTTTAGAAGCAATGCAGCACATTCAGCGATGTGTGATGCTTTCAATTATGCGGTCTATCAGTTCCATAGGAAGCGAGAGCCATTGCTCTTGCAAAACAGTTGCAAGCGCGGCAAGGGTCTAAGGGAGCGGATTGAGAGCAACTAGACGTCCCCCTAAAGCATCCCAAACGTGCTGGATAGGGTTCAAGTCCGGGGATCCAGCTGGCCACTCCATGCGCATAATTATTTCCTGTTGAAGATAACCACATACGATGCGAGCCCTGTGTGGCCTTGCATTGTCGTCCTGTAACAGGAAAGCATCACCTATTGCCCCGGCATATGGGCTTACATAATCATCAAGAATGTCACCTCTATAAACATGAGCATTCACGGTTCCCTTGGAAAAACATGGAGGTCTGTGCGTCCACCCAAAGAGATGCCACCCCAAACACAAACACTGCCTCTTCCCTCTTCCGTATGCATCTCTTTCACAGATGTTTGACGGATGATAACGAGTTCCAGGTGCTCTCCAAACCAATATCAATAGTACTTGCCTACTATCGCGTTCTGGAAGACTAAACCTTGGACTCATTCCGTAAAGAGAATAGCTCCTCCATTGCTCAGGCGTCCAGTGGACATGTTGTCGTGTCCACTGCAAACGGTCCCTGCTATGGCGTGACTTGAGCGGCACGCAAATGGTTTTTCGCCTCGCATACAGACCACCTTCGTGAAGCCTTTCTACGCACAGTTGACGTTGACTCCAACCTTCCGGTGGCTGCAGCAAGGGAGGATCTAAGAAGAGTCGGAGTAGCGGTTCTATTCCTGAGTGCACATAATGTCAAATATCGGCCAACGGCGCTCGTCTTAGCAATTTGCCGTCCTTGGCTGAACCTCCTAGGTGCCGAATCTGTGATTTGAAATAGCTTCCAAAGTCTATGAATCACAGAAGGACTCACATTTTGCCATCTGGCCACTTCTGTTTGTCCTGCCTCTAGTCTTCCAATGGCTCTCTACCGTAGTTCTGCAGGCAAATAATGCCTGGAGGTCATTGTTACGACTCGGCTATCTCAGATTTCTGATGTCACTATCACAGTGAAATATGTGGTCTCTTGCTCTCAAACATGGACTTTTATGCTCCTGGCAGATGACGTATTCCGAGTGCAGCGCCAATAATTTTCATATTGGAGTTTTACTCAGCTACTCTTACTTGACAACATGTTCAAATTTTACACGATTTGGCTTATTTTATGCGAGTTATGGCTATTTTTGTGATTTTTCCTTAATTTATGATAACCAGTGTATATTACCAGTTTGATGGCGTACAGTATTTTATGTTTATAACAGCTAAAAATACAGTGTGATATAATTCTATGTCTGTAACAGGATCTAATTGAGCACTTTTGTTATTCCAGCATGACTGGGGAAGGAGATGTCAAACGTGATATTATTCGAGAACTTCCATTGTCGGATCGAGTAGGATTCGATACATTACCTTATCAGTACGTTAAAAAGTGTGCAGAAGAAGTCTTCGTTTTCAACATCATGTGCGTAGGCGAGACAGGTATCGGTAAAACGAGTCTAATTGCCTCTTTATTCAATATACCTTTCAATGATTCCCACAGCAACCATAATTTTCCAGAAGTGAAGCTAAAAACTGAAACACACATTCTCACAGAGAAAAATATCAAACTGAAGTTGACTGTTGTTGAAACGATGGGCTATGGTGACCAAATCAACAAAGAAAATAACTTCAAACCCATTGTAGATTACCTTGACTCTCAGTTTGAAAACTTTCTACAGGAAGAAATGAAGTTCAAGAGAGCGATGTCATCTGTAAAAGACACCATGGTCCACGCTTGTTTGTATTTCATTTGTCCCACCGGACATAACCTAAAATCAACTGATCTTATTTGTCTGAAGAGTTTGCATCAGAAAGTGAATATCATTCCTGTTATTGCTAAAGCTGATTCAGTGTCCAAGGATGAGCTGAAACGTTTCAAAGAAAATATACGTAAAGAACTTTCAAAGGATAATATAGCAATATATTCTTGTCCCACAGACGACGAAAGCACCGCTCAAATCAACGCCGCTTTGAATGATCTGATGCCATTCGCTGTTGTGGGAAGTCAAGACTTTGCCATGGTTGATGGCAAAATGGCTCGAGTTCGCGGCTATCCTTGGGGCACGATCTGTATTAATAATGAAGAGCATTCTGACTTTCCCAAACTCAAAGAAATGCTCATCATGACCAATATGGAAGACTTGAGAGAACAGACCCACAAACGTCATTACGAGCGCTACAGGGCAATAAGCTTAGAAAAAATAGGTTTCTGCTATTGGGAGAATGATGGCAAGCCCTTTAATTTGAGAGACATCTACGAGAAAAAAAGAGATGAACTCCAAAAAGAGATGAATGATAAGGAAACAAAAATAAAAGAAGCTTTTGCTCAAAAGGTCAAGAGGATGGAGGCAAAACTGAAGGAGGAGGAATGGGCGATGCATTCTAGGAATAAACAGATCAGCATGCAACTAGAGTTAGAGATGAAAAAGCTGGAGGAAGATAGAAGATGTTTAGAACTTGAAATAGCTGCATTTCAGGTGAAGAAACAAAAGTCATTTCTCAAAACAGGGAAGTCTGGTGTTTAGAAAAGTCTCATTGTTAAGTAACAACATCATAGCATTATGCATACATAGCATTCATCCTTTATTTTTCCATAAAACCGAAACCTGATTCACAGAATTCAAACTCATTTCGTATTTTATTCTTTTTTTGTGCCACCCGAACTTTACTTTTGAAACTTGACTTTTTTTATACCGCCAAAACTTATTTACTAAAAATTTCAAAACGCTGTTTAGAAATTATTTAACATTAAACATTTTATATAAGTTATATCTTCTCATTCTTTGAGTCTCACCTTCTTTGATAATATCACCTAGATGAAAATTCTGAAAGACATAAGTGAATTATCGCTATGGCAATTACAACAGAGACTTCAAAGACCTTTAATTAAATTCAGTTGGCTCACCTAATACCAGCGTGACGAGCCTAAAGACGAGAATAATGTAACGCTGCAGATAAACTCCTATAAAAAAAACTCAACTAGTAACGTAGCCTTCAGCAGGCCGAACACGCTTTGATTCTACAGTCTAAAACCTTCCAATTCCTTCTCTTTCTACCTCATTAGAGTACGCGCGAAATAGATACTAGCATTCTGGCAGAAAAACGGAAAGCGAGAAAGAGAGTAAAGATAATTAATATAAAATAACTGGCTCCCCAAACTAAATAAATCCTTACAAAATCTAAAACATGCATTTATATATATGTATATCTACCATCTTTTTTTTTTTTTGGTGTAAATAAATATATTATAGTATATATTTACACAGAAAAATAATAACAATATATATATATATATATATATATACACAGAAAAATAATTGCGTGCGTACGTGTTCGTAATAAATTGAATGCACAAGTCCTATAAAAAAGAATACAAATTTATTATTATCACAACAAATAAAACAAAATGCTTAAATTTCCTAATTTTCTCACAGTAGTTACCTTTTTAACTACACAAAACCTTCTTTCAACAGACTTAATTCAAAACAGAGAAAGCTAATCCGATTTCATCGCGAATTCGCTACAGTAAACAACAACAGTTTTCTGAACAACTGAACTGAGATTTTTGGATCCCGCTTTTTATAAGCTTTTAAAATGCGCGAGCACATTCTGGTATTTCCTCTATTTTTCTAGAAAAGCAAAAGCTTAGAATTACGAGATTTTTGTTTATTAAACGCGCGTGCCCCTGCATTTTTCATTTTTCCGGCGTAGCTTTCTCTTCAAATTTGTCGCGCGCAACATTGCACGTGGAAATGAAACAATTTAATAATAATTCTATTTTAAAATAGCTAATTCAATACAAAAACCGTAAAACTGCCCCTTTTCAAGGACTGCACATCCCGGGCAATGCAATCTCTGGACAGGAAGCCGAACTGGCAATAATAAACATTACATCACAGTAACAAACAACACAAACAATAACTGCAATAGTAACTTAAAACAATTCAAATAATGTCATATATTAAATACAAATCAAATACTAAATACAAGTCAAATCAAATACAAAGTGCATAAATTTTACAAATTTAAAAACAAAAAGCACCATGGTCTTATACTATTTACAAAACACTTCACAATTATATACACAACGTACTATGGCCATAGTAATGAAATAGCCTGTCATAATGAACGACTTAGTGAACCATCGACAATGGTTCAACGACTTACAGATCTGAACCACGACGTCATTCAGCCTGTTTAGGACTGTATACGAACTATCCTTGTCTCCTTCACACCTTGTCTCCTTCGTTGAATTCTATGTCTAGTATCTGGTCTTCGTGTCGTATTTGGTCTTCATTTTCTCCGCCGCCAAGTTGACTGGCTCTCCTGCAGAACGATGCATCACTTTAAACCGGGCCTGAATATCTTGGATGCATTCTTCAGGCGATGAAGACGCATACGTAGCGTGACCAAACAAAAGGTCACAAGTCAGACGAAAGCCTCGACCGAAGAGCATCTGGGATGGAAAATAGCCGGTAGTCTGGTGTTTCTCTTCGACCCTAATATGATTTCGGCAGCTTTTTGAACAGGCTCTTTCACATGAGACGTCGAAGTTTCCAGGCGAGGATCCCTTCTGAGGGTGGACATTCATGTCCACAGATGCTGAAAGCAGTTTGTTGTTTTTGAAGTCTAAGGGAAAATTGTATTTCCTTAAAAACTCCAATCCGAGTAAGGATCTGTGATATCTGCCACATACGCCGTGTGATAGTAGGCGGCACTTTCAAACGGGATGTTCACGTTTAACTTCAAGCTATGTCGACTTTATCACCACACGCAGTCTGGAGGGTAAAACAGGATGGCGTCCAAATGAGATTGTCCTTAAATTGTTGAGCTAAATCTTTCCGAATCATGGTAACATTAGCTCCTGTGTCAATGATCATATTGCAAGGAAATCCATCGATATTCCCATTCAGGAACACTCCGCTACTATTGCCACTCACTATAGAAATCTTGAGCGCTTTAAAACAGTGTTTTTCATTGTCTGGCAATCTCCGCTCTTCGGTATGGCCATTAATTTGTTTCCTGCGTCGTTGCTGAGAAATGGTCTTATTTTCCGTGCCCTGGGGTGTTCTGCATTTCCTTTTGTGTGTGGCCTTCAACACCGCAGTTCCATCACTTTAGGATTGGTTCCTTTTCACTCCTGCTCCGTCTGAAACATTGATTTGTCTGGTTAAATCATCTAAATGAGCCATCAATTGATCCACTGGCTTGTGGACTCTGACTGGGTATCGATCTATACGAGTTGCCTGCTGGGCTGCCTCGAATTTCATAGCGTACATTAGAGCGCTTTTTACGTCCTTCACATCCGCCATTCGCAGAGCTTTCTGTATTTCAGGATCCCTGATGCCATCCATGAAGTACTGCAAGGGCAGGATTTCCCTCATTTCTCTCGGGTACTCCGTAAAGACGAGGTGGGACGCCTTTCAACATCCGTGGCAAGCTCCTGGAGTGGTTCGATGGGTTTCTGTTGACGGAATTTTAATTGAAGCCTGCTGTAGTCTTTTAAACATTTCTCGCCAAAGCGCCGGATAGAGCTTGAAAGTCAAGTCTCTGGTTTTCTGGAAGAGTCTGAAGAATATCCGCAGCGTCTGCTCTCAAAGAAGTGGCGAGATTAGCTTGGGAATCCCATCCATTCGTATCCGCTACTATAGAAACTTTTGTCTTATACACTTGCCAGGAGGTCTTCCCATCATATATAGATAGCTTCAGGGAGCGACGAGCAGGCATGGGTAAGAATTTTAAAACCATCCGAATCGGTCCCTGCCGTCGCTACGAATTTCTTTAAAGTATCAACTTCTTTGGCGACCGCAAAATCCCTGTCATCAGTTTGTTGTTCAATTTATTGCTGAACGGAACAAACATTTTCTTCGATTTCTTCTTTGACAGAAGAAACTCTGTAACCTATTTGTTGTTCCACAGGCCGAAACTTTCTTTTTGTATTTGCTCTTTCACAAAAGAGTATTTTTCTTCAATTTGTCCAAATTTATATTCAACCGCGTCTATTCTGGCTTCCATAGCCTCAAATTTGTTTTCAATTATGCAAATAATTTCCTTTTTTCATTTCTTCTTGACCTGCTTGAACGGCTTTCATTTCTTTTTTAACCGAGTTGAAGACCCCTTTCATCTTTTCTTGTAATGCAGCAAATGCCATTATCAATTGCCTGAATTGTTCTTCCATCGCTCTAGTTATTGGTATTCAAAATCCCACTTCTGACACTAAAAAGTGTAGCATGCGTACAAGTTCGTAATAAATTGAAGTCCGATAAAAAGTGAATAAAAATTTGTTATTATCACAACAAACAAAACAAAATGCTTAAATTTCCTCAGATATTCTTGCAATATTTCAATATCTCACAGTAGTTACCTTCTAAACTACAAAAAACGTTCAACAGAACTTAGTTCAAAACAGAGAAAGCTAATCCGATTTCACCGCGAATTCGGTACAGTAAACAACAAAAGTTCTCTAAACAACTGAACTGAAATGTTTTGATCCCGCTTTTCATATGCTTTTTAAATGAACGAGCACATTCTGGTATTTTTTCGACTTTTCCCGAAAAGCAAAAGTGTACAGTTACGAGATATCTATTTATTAAACGCAAATCAAGATGGGAAAAACTCTCGAGCTGTGATACGCGAAAGTTTTGTTTCAAACTTGAGAAAATACCGTTGGAGACTTCTGCTTTGCTTCAGAAGCATTTGCCCCCGCCCGACTTCTTTTTCTCTCCGAAAATTAAAAAATCCCTCAAAGGACTGCATTTGGGACACTGAAGAACACCACGGCGGCTACGATAAAGATTACTGAAGGACATTCCTGTGACGGATTTGCAGGACGCATATAAAGCATGGAAATAGCGATGGAACAAGTATGTTAAAGCAGGAGGGATATATTTCGAAGAATATTAAGTAATTGTACGAATCGATTCAAGAAATTTATTAAAAAAAATAGGAGCATTTCTTTCGGGACAGACCTTGTATATATAATATATATGTGTGTGTATGTATATGTGTATATCTGTGCAACTCGCCATCATATAAATAATCTATATATATCTGCAAATAGTAATAAATTATGTATATGTATCTTCTTCCTTGTATTTCATTTTGTCTCTTATAGTTCATTTAATCATTAGTCCAAAAGGGACGGGCCCACCAGCGGCCGAGCGGTAAAGTCGCTGAACACTTGTAGTTCGGTCCGAGGTTCGAATCACGCGAACGGGCTGGCTGCATGGGCGTTTTCGTGGTTTTCCCCATGTGTAACGTGTATACGAGCCATTTTCCCTTAGAAAGTCCTCCACGAAGGCATCCCTTCCCTTAGGCAGATAGCCCTCGAGTCTTTGCCATAATCACACACACACCAAAATGGGCGTTACGCCTGAAAGGGATATTACTCTCGAAAGGGAATTTTGCGTTGAATCATTACAAACAACGTATCACTTTTCAAGTAGTTGCCACCATATATTATCGCCATTCATTAGATTTAAAGAAATTTTAGAAAAATGAAGAAATTGTATGAATGTATGCATGTTTCTCATTGTGAAAAAACAGTGGTGCCCAGAGCCACCAAATTTTGAACAACCTCCTCTTCCACCCGAACATGTGCACCTGGAAGCCCTAATTTTTAATTTCAAATTTATATTATTATCTATTTCATATCTTCTAAAACGTTAAAAAAATTTTAATTAACAAGTTCAATGATTTCAAAACGAGCAGTGGCA